AGTAGAGGTGTTTTGGAATAGAGGAAGGTGTTAAAGCCAGGGTTAAAGGAAGCAAAAATGTGGAGTGCCACACAGACATTGGAGAGAGGGGGCGAGTGATGCATCTTTGTAGTGACTGTGCATAATGCAAAGGCTTTTCAGAAGACGTGACAACAAACTTCTACTTGGATTGTTAGCTGCTCTGGATGGTGGCCTGCTCTTTATGCCACTGTACTTTCTCAGGGAGAAACAAAACACCATCTGGGCCACCAGTCGTATACAAATGATGTAAAAAAAGACGTCTCTTTTTTTTTTTTTTTTCCTCAAATGTTGAATGCTTCTTTCTCTTGTTCTTTTCCTCTGCTGTTATGCAGCAGGGAATATGTATCTAGAGTTACAGCTGCAAGACTTGTGGGCCAAGCTATTCAGTGGCTTTGATTTGTTTTGATTTCTGGGGTCAATATGTAGGAATCCTGTCTGTCAGTTCCTGTGCTCAGTTCCTCTGCTCAAATCCGTTGGTGCCTGAATCCTTTAGTACCTCCAGTAGCATCAACACAGCTTCATTGCTCCCTTACCCACCAGCTCTGCATGTGACAGAAGTGCTGCCCCAGAGAAGAGGTTGCCCTTTCAGATGAGGGGGACAGAAGAGCTACTGGCTGCTTGCCGTATCTCAGGCTCATACAGCTAAGGAACATTTGACCCGTAGTAAATGGTCTTTTCCTGACACTTCCCACTTACTGTAACCCACAATGTTCATTTTTAAAGAGGGCTTGATAAGCTATTGCTCATGGGACTTACAGCCCATGAACCTTTGTGTACTCAGCACAGGGTTTTCAGAGAGTGGCTGTGTAGTTTTGTGGAGCAGAGATCCTTGCTAATTTAGATAAGTAGTCATTTCTAAGATACCTGTTGCCCTGGCTGTAATACTGGGAGTCAAGCTAGCATGTTTATTGGCCATACACACATGTACCTCAATTTGGGGAAAATACAGAGGTTTGGTTGCTACCTCTTATGAGCAAGACTTGCCGAAAATGTGGTGCTGTGTATAATGCCATCTGCTACCTTCATATGCAGTTTGTGCAGCTTTGTGCTTTGCACGGAGGGAGATGGTGCTGAAATGATATTACTGAAATTAAAAGGCAGGTCCTGCCAAGACTGAGCTTAGTTCCCCCTTCTGTGCATGTTATGACATAATCGTGGGTTGAAATGATACTCTGCTAGACCAAGCTGCATGCAGGTGGGATCTTCCGAGAATTGCACTAGCAGCCTCCAGAATGTCTCTTAACCCTGTGCAAGTTGTGGTTTCTTCCCCGGTTACACACATTTCACCACTTATACAAGCTTAGAGACATTTTTTTTTTTCCATGAGGGTGATAGAGGCCCTTCATTTTTATAAATGCAATTGAGAGATTGAAAATTCATGCTGTCTAGAGATGCTACTGTTGGGAAAAAAAAAAAAAAAGTAAATATGGTTGGAACATATGTTTTTTCTCATCTTGTTTTCAGAAAAAAGAGACGTTTTTACTGAAACAGCTTAAGACAAACATCCTGGGGGGGAAATTTCAGCCTGAATAGTTAAAATGTTGATAGAAGTTTAAGTTGCTTATGTACTACTATAAATTAGCAGTTTATACTAAACATGTTAATTGAAAGTGCTAATTATAAATATCACTGCATTATTCTCTGCTTGCAACACTGCTTGTTTTAGAGCAGCTCTTTCAGAACACATTGTGAAATGAGGCATTTGTATTTTTTCTTACTGGTGGTCTTCATGTTGTCTTTTGCTTTGTCTTATCTTACTGATTCTTTTCATTCTACTTTTCCACTTCATTCTTGTTTTCCACTTACGACACAGGAAAATGAAGAACAATGGGTTTGTTTTGCAGAGGATTGTATCTGCAAGAGAATTTGGTTTCACTTTGGGTTTTGCATACAGTTAGTAATAAAATCAAGCCCAACAGCAACACTTCACCTGGCAGTTTTTCAGACCACAGTGCCAATGGTCTGTGCTTTGATTTACCGTGCATGTGTTTGGTTTTGCTTTAAAAATCTACCTGAAATCAAGGAACTGCAAAATCAAATTGTTCTGAAATTTGGCCTGGCTTAGTGAGAAGGTTGTAAAATCTCTGCAGGTTCTTTGGACTGGCCAAACGTGTGAAATGGAATCTGGATAAGTTTCATTTTATAAGTCTTACTTTAAGATTTCGTAATAAAACTTCATAAAATGATAGAACTATAGAATGGTTTGGGTTGGAAGGGACTTTAAAGATCGTTTAATTCAAATTTCCCTGCCATGGGCAGGGATACCTCCCACCAGACCAGGCTGCCGAAAGCCCCATCCAGCCTGGCCTTGAGCACTTCCAGTGTTGGGGTACACCTTCTCTGGGCAAACTGTGCCTGGGCCTCACCAACCTCAGAGTGAAAAATTTCCTCGTTTCCTCCTAACTTTCCTCCTTGTCCTACATGTATCATCTCAGTTCATCCCCGTTTTTGGAATTTGTGTTTGCAAGAGTGGCTTAAATACACTTACTGCTCATCATATGATGACGTGGGTTTTGGAACGTGCTGTTGATATCATTGGAAGGTTTACCATACGGGGTATGTTTTATCGATCATAGCATGGTAGAATGTTATTGAAATGAACTGGCAATTTGCGTGCTACCAAGTTGAAAATCACTTATCCCTACTTTTACCTAAGTTCACAGAGAAAGGAGAGAATCACCTGCTTTCGGGCCTCAGACAGCCACCGGAAGAAACTAATGGTGGTCCCATATCTACTTACTCTCTGACAGGCTGTGGCTGAGTACAAGACTGGTAACTCTGTTGGGTGGTTTCTGGTCCAGGACACATTAGCACAGCATTTTTGGAGATGCTCCGCCTGTTGTCCAAGAACAAGCATAGGGTGGGTAGAAATTACCATTAGTGCACAGTCAAACTGGAAGGATGAAATGGGCAGGAGCCCACTCAGGCACTTTTGAGTATTGTTGTGAGTGCTTTGTATGAAGTATTAGGGAATGATCCTTCAATCTGTGGATTGCAGCACGGTGAGAGGGGCTGCGGGCAGATTTTAAGGCCATGAGAGATGAGCTAACATGTTGTTGGCAAACCAGTAAGAGAGAAAAGGACAACTCAACAGGTACAAACATCGTGTTACACTAGAGTGGAAATAACCAGCAGTCCAAATGCTTGTTAGGGAAAGGCTAGCAATAAGTCAGAAGTGGGCATTAGAATTTTGTGGATCATAACATAATAAGATGGCATTAAAATATGTCAAATCGTATTTGTCACCTCACACTTAAAAGCAAAGCAAAATTGACCACCAACAGGAAAGCAGTTACCATTGCGGGAAGTACACGTGGAAGGGTTTTGATCCTTTAGGAGCAAGCAGTGTGCACAGAATAAAGAATACTGGTGTAGTTTTTGTTTGGTTTTGTTTGTTGTTTTTTGTTTGTTTGTTTTAAGCCACATAGCTGTTTGTTGTCTTTGACTTGGCATTCAACTCCTAAATGTATGGCAGTGTAGTGATTATTGTCACTTCTAGGCTTTTGCTTTCCATTGATAAAATCACAGTTTCAAGGACTGCTTATTTCTCCAGGTTTAAGTTCGCTGGTGTAGTTGTGCTGGTAGTGAGGATTCTGTACCCAACTGCAGGGGCACACTGAGGGTGCATTTAGAAAAGCAAGCCACCTGTGTATGTTCACTCTTTTGAAGCTTTTTTAACAGCAGTTGTACCCATATTCTTTCATTTTTATTTGTTAATTACTAGCTTGTCAATGACCAAGAACTTGTTTCTGACCAGTCCCAGGTTTTTGTCTGTATCTAAAACTCTCCTCCGTAGAGGGAGACTTACGAAGCCTCATCAGGTATAGATGTATTTTTGCATTGCACATGAGGTATCCAAAATGCTTTGTTTTCAAGACTATTGTTTCTGACAGTGTCTCTTTGGTCTCGCTACCTTTTCTTTCATACCCATACCTGTGTATGTACATGCTCTGTGGTGTGTTCTCCATTGATGTGTACACTGTTAAATTGCTTTTGGGCTTATTGGGGAAATCAGTCTTTCTCATCTGCCTTAGGTAGGAAGAGAACAACATAGCCACTGTTTTGCTTTCCAGACACTCAGTGGATTTCACTTTTTAGACAATGAAATGGTAGAGGAAGGGCGGAAGAGAATGTGTGGGAAGACAAAATTTCCAGTGGAAGCTTTAACCATTCATGGGTTATTCATGTGAAAATGAATAAGATTTATATCTGGTTTTGGCCAAGTCTTCAACTTTCATTGATACGCTTATCCTTACAAGATTTCTAGTAGACCCACTGGAGGAGAGGGGGGGGGGGCGGCATGTTTTGAGCAAAATAACACTTAGTAAAATATTTGTTTTTCTTAGTTATCCCTTACAAACTGCAGAAGATTTCTCCATATATCACATACTGAAAGTCATGATAATGAGAGTGGGTGTGCCATGGTATGCAGGACATTTTCAAGGTGTGGCTTGGTGAGAGGTTCATGTGTCTGTCAAAATAAGCAAGTTGGGAACCAAGTGGCATTCATATGCTGAACAGAAAGATAACACTGACCACACTGCCAGCTGGTATGTGTCTACATCACTTCCATGGTGCTGAGACAGCTGGTAGCATCTGAACTTCTGTTCTTGGACTTGGTCTTGGACTAGATTTTCATCGTGTTATCAATTCAAACTGCAGTCTGAAACACTGATCAATATCGTTGCTGTCTAACACATGGGTGACTTTTATCAGCCAGTGTGAAAGCCTCTCAATTCAGATCATGTCATGATTTCACAGCTGTTAGTGGGAAGACACTGACCATCTGAAGTGTGAGTCAGTGTTTGGTGTTGTCTAACCACAGCCTCTGCTTGCAGGTGGTTGTTTGCTATGGTGAGTAGTCTTGCAAAGACTTAATCCAGCTGTGTAACCAACTAAAAGGAGCTGAATCATGGAGGAAAGTAGATTAACTGCTGCTAACGCTTTGCTGAGGTGTGCCATTTCATTTTCTCTTCCAGCAAATACTGCGGCATGCGCGTGGCAATTCCACAAAGGTGATATTTCTCATTACTGATGGATATTCCAACGGTGGGGACCCAAGACCCATTGCAGCATCCTTGCGTGAATTTGGAGTGGAGATCTTCACCTTCGGGATATGGCAGGGGAATACCCGAGAACTGAATGACATGGCTTCCCATCCAAAAGAAGATCACTGTTACCTTCTTCACAGTTTTACTGAGTTTGAAGCACTGGCACGCAGGGCTCTTCACGAAGGTATTAACCTGCGAAGTCCTACAGACAGCACAGGGCTGAATATACAGTACTGTCTTGTAACTGCATTGCATGTAGAGCAGATTCCATTTTTTTTGATATTTCGTCTTTCTAGCAGAGGTGTCCATTCCTCAGGTAAAATAATAAACTATTAGTTAGACTAACGATCAGCAAAATGTAACCTAAATTCTATTCCCTGGTATATCCATACTTCAATTCTACTCTACATTTTGTACAAGGAGAAGATAATATGGTCAGGCCCCCAATACGCATCTTAGGACTAGCCTTACTACCTAGTGTGTATTTTACACACCAACAAAAGCTAGCCTATTCAGAAATAATTCAGATCCCTGTTTATAAAGGTAAAGACAGTTTATTTTAACAGCCTTACATATTCAGTAACATTGAAACAAGCAAGGGGTGGAAAGAGAGTTTGAACTCTGCTTTTATCCTTTTTCAGTCTACTTTATTGTAAAGTAGAATGAAGGTTCTACTCATGAAGAGCAGAAGAAATTTAGCAAGTGAGAACACATGAGTAGACCTTCATATGTAAGCCAGTCCTGCTTGAATGAGACATAACACATGCATCAGACTACCAACTAGCATTTATTTGCAGTATTTAATTTTTAAAAGCATGCTACTTTTACATAAGTAGTACGCTTTACTGCTGTTCTGTTTATTCCAGTTAAGGTTTAACTTTTTGTGTAAATGCATGAAAGGAAAGATTTTTTTTTTTAATTTGACCAACTGGTTGTACATCCCATAACCAAATGCTCTCCTGATGCTGGTGACAGCATCCACCACAGCAAGGATAGGCTGTCTCAGCAGCTTTGTCAGGGGGTGAGGCTGCCTTCTGGCACTGTTGGAACCAAGCAAAAATTTGGGATCTTCGCATCTTTGGTTTCAGTGAGCATTTTTGCAGAATAAGAACACCATTTAAATGTTTGTTGTTTTTTTTTTTACATTTTTTGTCAATAAGTGTTCTTCATGCTGCCATCCCTACAGTTTAGAACTGGACCTGGAACCTGTTTTTTTGTTTGTTTGTTTGTTTTAAATATTACGCTAATGACATAATGTGACACTGGGGGGGATAATTGGGGTTGGATTTTTTTGTTAATAAATTGATATAATTTCAGACCTGCCCTCTGGCAGTTATATCCAAGAAGATATATCACATTGTTCGTATCTCTGTGAGGCAAATGAAAACTGCTGCGACATCATGGCGAGCTGTAAATGTGGCACTCACACTGGCCAGTTTGAGTGCATCTGTGAAAAAGGATACTATGGGAAAGGACTACAGCATGAATGCACAGGTGAGTCTCATGTCTTGTGCTTGTGTTTCTTCTCTGTGTGCCCTGGATATGTAGCTAATTCAGTCTAGGGAGGCCAACTCTTTGGGGGATTATGATTATCAACCTGAATCAGAATGGGTTTCTGGCTTTTGGAAGACTTTCTGGCTAAAGGTGTATGAGAGTTGTAGCAGTCAAACTCCCCTCCAGCAGCAGCCAGAAGAGATGTCCAGGAAAGGTAAGAGTAGGTCAAATGTTCAGACACATTAAAATATCCCTAAAATGGTAATCACCAAAATGTTTTGACTGCAGATTTACTGAGTTTGAAGTAGTGTCTTCTGCATTTAAGAGCTCCTGGTGATTTTTTCCATCATGAATTTTACTGATCACATTTTGAAATTCCATAAACTTTCCTGTTTGGAGAGGTGCTGTCTATGTTCATCAGTGCAGGATAAATACTTGGTGAATACTACAGTGAATTAAATGTCCTTTAATTCTTTCATGTTGACTTTCAGTAACTAAGGAGGAAGAAGGCATTTCAGTCACTGAACAGAAAATTGTCATCAAATTTCACTAAGATTGTTCTTGTTACTGCTTTTGGAACAGTCCTCTTAATAATATTCATTTGCAGTGTACAGTTGAAAAAACAACATCTTACAGCTCTTTATTGCATGCCAGGATAAAAACATGGAGGCAAAATTCTGGCTCTCTGAGTTCCCTGAAAAGTTGTTCATAGGAAAGATGAAAGCAAGGCTATATTACTAGGCAGAGGACTTCAAGCTAATTTATTTATTTTATTAATAGATAGGATTTCCTACGGAAGTAGCAGAGAAAGTTGAGCCACTGGTCTTCAGTGGAGGTGTGTTTCAGCTCTGGGGGATACCAGATGCCTTTGTTTAATAAGAATATGGATAAACAGATAAATATCAGGTTTCAGTATAAGGTTTCTTTTTACAGACGTTTATGAGTTCAGTTGAAAGCCTTCATGTAGTCAAGATAATCTGATGAAATAGTTGTTCACATACTGCAGTGATTATAAGAAGTGAAGGGAAGCTGTGCTCGTAGGAAAAGATAAGCAGGTTTTGTCCAACTCCATTGATGCATATGGGACAAAAAAATGCCAAAACTGTCAGCATATCTGAATTCTGTTATATTTGTTTTGTGAGCTGGATAAAAGGAGTACGTATAATAAAATATTTCTCATCTAGAAACAAAATACAGTGTTTACATTGATTTTACATCCTCATATTCTCACATAACACTCTTCATGCATAATCACATAATCTGTGGATCATGGTTGTATAGTTATGTTTGAGTGCTGTGCTACTTATGTTAAAGTTGATTTTCATCACATGCAGAGGGCTTCTTCATGTAACTTGTAAGAGCTCTGCTCAGACAATAGACACAGACAGGTTTGTGACTAGAAGCTGAAGAAGGCCTTTAAGGAACATTTCAATGCAGACTGTGATGGCTGTGTTCCTGCGCTAGGAGCAGTGAAAGAATACACTGGGGGAATCAAGATTACACCTAAGCATGCAATGAGGAAAAGGTATTGCCAGCCACCAGTGCAAGAAAGGACTGAGATGTTACAATGTTTGTGTTGGGAAGCTTTATCAGTTTTATTTTGCTCCTTATGGATTATCACAAGGTAACTGTTAATTTTCCTTGTGCCTCTGGGTCATCTTTACCGTTTTCTGATTAAAAATGAAGTAGGAAAGTATTCAGGAATCGGTAGGGTTTTGATTGCAAGATGAGCGGAGGAATTTAGCAGAGTCAGTGGCACATTGGATCAGAATCTCGCTTTATGTAAGTGATAGCGTTTACTAGTGGGTTCACTTAACTCCGAACAAAGATAAGATATTACATTCTGCTTATTTTCAGAGCTAATTCTATTTTTTTTTTTATAAAGTCAAATTTTCATTTTAAGTTTCTTCTGGAATTCAAATCCATTTTGTTCACCTCAGCTGAATGTCCTAGTAACCTACTGAACAAAATAAACCCAGCATTTCTGCTTCTACCAATAGCCTGTGTCATTAAATACTGTTCTGAGCTATTCCTGAAGACAGAGGGACTATCATTTTAGAGTTAATGTTATCCTTTGGAACTTCTGATGGGGTAAGCTTACCTTTTGAGGGCTATTAGAAATGGTAAAAGTATGACTTATGTTTATGGATATTTGACAACTGCAGAAGAGAAGTTTCATTTTATTACAATCAGCAGGTTTTTTTAAATTAAGTTTTTAAAGGTGATTGATATTAGATACACTAAAATAAAACTATGATTGCAGCCATTTGCTTTCTGTGTGAAGATAAAAGGTGCGTATGTGTATTTTGTGGAGAATTTGACCAGAGTAGTTCAAGCTTGTTCTTTTAAATACGTCTGATCAATTCAACTATTGTATTCTTCCTTAAGACAGACAGAAACAAAAGGCAACATGTGTTCTTTAAATAAAAAAGACATTCTGAAATCTTCTTTTCTGAAAAGGATTCCAAACCATTTTTTTAACATTTCCCAGCAGAGGATAGCTATGGATTTGTAAAGGACAAGGAATCTTAAGAATGCCTCTTAACTTTTCTGCAGCGTATAATGAGCAGGAGGACTTCTGGCAAGTTTACATTGACAGAACTTACTTTTGATTGGTTAAACATGCAGATACCATACTAGCCCATGTTTACTTAATGAAGTAAAATATTTTTTAAATGATTTTTCATTAAAGTGGGAAATTGTTCTTCTTCTGTAGTATATCTGTTTCTTTTGCTATATTAGTTATTTTCTGTCATTATTTTCTGCATGGCCTTGTGCTTTTGCGTTATGCCACGTTATTGATGTTTATGGTTTGAAATGTGAAGCACCAAAATAGCTATGTACAAATCATAACAGGACTTTAATTTCCTCATTACCTGAAAAAAACACCCTAGAAAGCTTCCATAAAATAAAATAGGAGCCACGTGCTTTGTGCTGGAGAGCAGAAATTGGCTTCAGTGGCCACCTCCTGTTCTTTGCAATATTGTTGATGATGTGCCACAGAAAGAAGAACAGAGTGACTGTTCTCTGCTTTAGAAAACAAACCAAACAAAAATCTCTTGGCCCATATTATGAGCCTTATGCAGCCAGGGACATCTGTGACAATTATCAGAAAAGGAGAAAGAGGAAGAACAGAGACCGTATCATAATCAATCACAATTATTGTATAGTACATAAACACCTTTTCTTCAATGTCCTCACTTCTTTTTTTCCTTCCTTTCCTTGAATACAAATGTTACGTTTCAAACCAAATGCAACCAAACAAAAATACAGATGTCAGCCAAAATATAGACCTTCATGGTCTTCCATTCCATCAGTAAAAAGATGAGCTATTAAAGGTAACTGCTTGGTCCATGGAAAGCTAAAATGTCCAGATGGATCTTCTGTCCATTTATATCTTCTCTGTCTTAGGAAGCTAGGTAATAGATCTTTTACACGGCCTTTTTCCACGTTTTTCAGTGATACTCTCCAGAGAATGAGGTTCTTTTCTGGCAAGTGGTCTGATGGATCTAATGACCTTATAGATTCATGATGGGGAAACTAAAGGATGACAACCACAGGTATCAGGGAGGGCAGGGAACTGCTGTCTTACAGCCAGCCGTTTCCTTTATTGAACACATGGACCACATAGTTTATAGCACAATGTGTTCATGAAGATGACTTACAGTTGGCAGGGCAGAATTAGTAAATGTAGTACTTACGTGGTATGCTAGTTATTCCTTATTTTCTTTAAATTTGGTCCACTACATGTCTATAATTACTGAAATGTAGAATTTCATCATATATATAAATATTCAGTAGTTTACCTAGGCTCTGCAGTTTTTATGAGTATATAGTATTGTTGGTTATCATCTGAATAGCCACCAGGCCAGCAGTTTTGCTTACAAAACAGGACATCAGTTAGATCTGTAAAAAACTTTTCCAGGGAAATATGAAATCATGTGAACTGTGACCTTTTTCTTCTCTCTCTCTCTCTTTTTTTTTTCCAAATTTTAACTCAGAACACATTCACTTAAAAGACTGAGAAGAATTTCAAGGAAATGCAGGAGGTCCAGCAAGGCAGGGGGTCTACATTTTGCATTTTATGATTTCTTGGGTTTTGGACCCTATTTTCATTTGAGCTTTTTTTTTTTTTTTTTTTTTTTCCATGAGATTTCCAGAATGTTCCTTTTGAGAATGCAAAGCAAAACCTGATGTTCATGAGTTGGACAGCTCTCCAGTTAGGAAAAAAAAAAAAGAAAGAAAGAAAAGAACACAAGTTGTGCATAATATATTACTAGCAGTTGTTTTTTTAGTGAGATAGGAAGAACTATAATTCCAGTAGTGATTGGAATGGTCCATTCAAAGAAAGCAAAACATCTGTTCTGCCATGATGTGTTTTTCTTACCTCCCTTCTGTTAGGAGTTTCTCCCTGCCTGGAAGCCGCGTCACCCTTTCTCCTCTTTCATTTTGTTGAAGTGTTTCATTAGCTATCCTGCAGGTGTTCTGGCTTAATGAATCTTTGTCAGCCATCTTGCATTTGTCATACTCTGTGTGGAAATTCTCTTTAGAAGTTGACAGAGCTGCAGATTTCCTGCATCTTAGAACTTAGTTTCTTGCTGTCTCACACAGCAGTGCCATTTTATTCTGTCATCCATTGAATCTGTGTCTTAAAACAGATAAGATGTTGTTTTGGTTCCTTTACTCTCCTTTGTTTTTAAACTCTGAATCAGAAAAATACTTTTCTAGCATAGCTTGCACTGAAAGCTTCTGCTGAGGCCCAGTGAAAACTGACAAATTGAAGAAGGAGCATCTCATCAAGGGAAATGTCATATGGCTGCTGATGTGCTTCCTTGTGCCATATAAACCTGCAAATCTGCATAAGCAAAAAGAAGCAAACATTTTTAACTAGATGAGCTGAAGGAACTGCGATTACAGCCGGGTAAAGAAGTTGAGATATACATGCTTAATAAAGCATTCCTTTAATGTTTACAAAACCTGGACAGTTTGGAGAGACTTGG